GGGGGGGCCGGGGATTGAACTCCGGTCCTTGTGCTTGCAAGGCAGGCCACCGAACCACTGAGCTAAATCCCCAGCCCTGCACCACCTATTTTAACAGCAAAATGGATCTTTTTGATGTTTTGTTTTGTTTTGTTTTTTGTTTGCTGTACTCTGGAGATTGAACTCAGGACCTTGCACTTACAAGGCAGGAGCCACTCAGGTGCCACTGAGCCAAATCCCCGGCCCTAGGATTGTTTTTCTTTATGAAAAAACAAAACAAAACAAAACTCTGAATTCTGAGTAGGAAATCGGGATGGCATGAAACTGCCTCTTTGAAATGTTTTAGCTTCTGAAAGAAGTTTTTCTTGCCTTGGTAAAAAGGTTTCTTCCTCCTGCAGAAGAGGCTGAGTCTCTGCTGCTTTTCCTCCCTGGACAAGAATCACTCCCATCATTGTTCTACATATCCATCAATTATTTATCTAGAGGTAACCCGTGCTTGGGCTTTATCTTCCCTACCTTTGTAATCTTCTGTACATCAGGTCTTTCTAAATTGCAAATCTGATGCATTCTCCTCCCAGCTTTTAAGTTATCTTTAGGATCAATTCCAAATTCCTTGGAATGGTGCAACTGGCTTCTCCAGATCTGAGCCCTGCCCACCCTGCAGCCTTTTGTCTCCTGCTCTGTTGATTCTGTAGCCAGGAGAAACCAAGATTTCTGGTTCTTTACTTGTACATACACTGTTCACTCTGTCTGGCAAAACTTTTCCACTCTATACCTAGCTCATGCTCATTTGTGCTTGACTTTCTTCCATGTGGTCACCATGTTGAAAATGACCTCTTCACCCTCGATGCAAATTAAGCGCATTCTCTAATTCTGTAACATCCTGCACATATATCCCCCACCCTGAGATTCATCACCATGCTGACAGTAGTTTATGAATGTTTTTGTCTGCACAGAGGTTGGACTAATGGAAATAAGAGATATTACCTATTATCTCTGCATTCCCAATGCTCAGGTCAGTATCTAGCTTATCTGGTACACAAATGTCTCCTGTAATAACATGGATCAGATGGGGCAAGAACAGTAACATTGGCTAATCTGGACTGACTAAATTTCAACAAGAAAGTTAATACCTCAAGGGAAATTAGAACACCTGAGAAAAGGCCCGGACAGTCAGGTCAGAGGTATGAAATTATTGGAAGGACGTCCTCAGGTTAGGTCATACTTGCTTCTGAAAGAGATATTCTAAGGTACATGCTGGGTGGAGAAAGTAGTTGTCTAGAGTTGTCAACTGGGAACCTCCTGCAGACATTTGGCCAAGTCTGGAGACATGTTATGACTTAAGTCTAGATGTTCCCCCAAAGCCTCTTGCCGTTGTAGGTGGAACTTTTTCAGAGAATTTAGAGTGTGTGATTGATTCATGGTGTAATGCCAGGATTACGGGTACCAGGATGAAGGGTGCTAGGGGGTTAAATCAGTCTACTGATTGGTTTGGCACTGTCCTAATCAGAATAAACCCAATAAGATAGAATGTAAAACAGACAGAAAGAAGCTGCTAAGTTTCCTTGCTTGCTTGCTTGCTTGCTTGCTTTACTCTTTTTGCCTGCTATGAACTATTTCTTCTCTGCAATGCTTGTCTGCCGTGCCACCCTGCCTCAGAGCCAGCCAATTATGGACTAAAACCAATATGAACTGTAAGCTAAATAAACCTTTTCCACTTTAACTTTGTGCGTCTGGTATTTTGTCTCAGCAACAAGAGAAAAGTAACTAAGAAGACATTTGTCACAATGAGGGAGAGGCAGTAATGTTGGCATCTAATAGGTAGAGATCAGGAATGTGATAATCATGCTACAGTGTCCAGTAAGCCTCCCATGACAAAAAAATTATACTGTCTAAATGACAGCGTAGAGAGAGTTTCAGAAACCCTGTTGTGGATATGAAGTTGTTGAACATTCTAAGTTAATTTAAAGCTAATGAGATTTGATGTGATATGATTATCTTGACATGCGAAAACCCCAGAAATCTAGATTTGGGTTCTAGTCCTGGCTGTAGAAGTTAGCTACCTCTATCTCCTAAGGTAAGTCATTTCACCTTTCCATGACTCTTGTGGTCCCATAGGAAAATAAAGAAGAACAATTTAAGGCCCCTAATACTTTTAGCATTCCATGGCTCTAATGTGTAACTCACGTCTCACTAAAACCACTAGTGATTTTTAAAAGAAAGAAGTGTTTTCAGTGTTTTGCTTTGTTTACATCAGCTAAACATCTTTCTGTTTAGGAATGATGAGAGTTCTTGATCCCTTGCTTTGGCAAGACAAGTGACCATCATAACAATGTTACTTAAGAAGTGAGACTAGAAATACTCATATTATCCTCGGCAATATTACCTCCCAGGTCGCAATATTAATCTGCAGTGGAATCTGTGAATGTTTTCAGCAATGTCTACTTGATTTCAGGAACAATGTGCTAAAATTAAAGCTACAAGAAAAAAAATTAAAACTAT